ACTGCTGCGGGGGAGGGGAGGCTGGCCCAGCCCCTTGGGGTAGTTGCTGTCTGGTCCGACCCCCAAATCCTGGCTGGGGACGGGGCCTGAGGCAGAGCAGGGGTCTGATTCTGACAGCACCCGGCCTGGCTTTCCATCCCCGCCTAAGGACAAACTTCTGAGGAGTCCCTCCTGATTCACCCCCGTGTAAACGCAATCAGAACCAGGACGGGGACACCGAAACGGAGCGCTCACCTTCCTGAAACCCAAAGGTCTTCAGGGCCAGCAGCAAGAGCCACGCGGCCCGCCCTCTCCTCCGCATGGCGCCAGCTCTGCATGGGAGCGCAGAGGCAGCGGGTCAGCGAGCAAGGGTGCGAACACCGTAAGTGCCTCCCGCATCTCTCCACCCAGCAGATCTGGCCCCCTCCCTCTGGCTTTGCTGGAGCCCTCCTGGGAATTCCCGGGTTGAGTTCCTTGAGGTTTTCTAACTCTCGGATCATTCTGCCGGCTCTTCTCCAGCGGCCCCACCCCCTCCTGGAAGCATGGACCCGGGACCTCGCCCAGCAGCGGTCACACCAGGGCCAAACGCCGAGGGCAAATCACCTCTCGGCTCCTGTTTGCAGTTCTCCCGTTTCTGCGTCCTAGCATCGCCATAGCTCTTTCAGCCACCCTGTCCAAGCCCCAAGTCCTCCTCCACTTCCCCAGGGAGAGTCCCTGTCCCACTGGCATGGCTGAGTTTCTCTGCCCCGAAGTGTAACAGCCATTCAAAACTGGACACTTTGCTTCCCTCCCTGGTTTAGCAGTCCTGACCGCCCTGGCCCAGTGACCTGCCCCCGTGTTATGTGTCCGTTCATGGGGGAACTCTACCAGGGATTATTTGGGTTTTTTTTCCAGATCATTCATAACATTAAGTAGCACAGTAGGGCCAAAAGCTAGAGAGTCCGTCAGTGTCAGTAGTTAATTGCAGGGTTTAACCCAAATCATTTTGCTCCTAACTGCTCCTTGGGCATTTGAGTTAAATAGGCACCGTTTAAATAAACAAATCAGCCTTTTCCCTGCTCAGTTCACCCGCATCTCTGAGGGCACAGGCTTCCTAGCCATCGATAGAGTCTTCTCATGGCAAAGTGGGAGAGGAAATCCCAGAGTAGAGATTTGGCCCCACCGAAAGGGGAAGGGCTAGAGACACTAGGAAATCCAGACGGACTATGGGTTTAGTGCGGGAGTGGCACAAGTTCCATGGGGAGGGGCAGAAGGATCAAGCTCTGACACGAAGGTGAGATCTGGACGTGTGCAGCAAAAAACACTCCATAAAAAAGAGAAAAAAGCAACAAAAAAAACCCAACCCCAAGATGGGGGGAGACTGATGGGAAACAAACGACGCGGTGACAGAACAGAGGCGGCCTCTGACTCATGCCTTTCCACAGCCTCTGCTCGCTTTCACGCAGACAGCGCAGCCAAACAGCTGGACCGGAGCAGGGAGCTTAACTAGCGGTTAATGGAACAGTCGAGTAACCGCACGAATTCCTAGCGGTTACTCGACTATTCGATAGTCCCCGGGGGTGGGGCCGGCAGCCAGTGCGCTCCGGCCCCACTGCCGAGGAGCCCCCCGCCTCTCCGCACTGCCGCCTCTGCCTCGGGGTGCCAGGCGGGAGCTGGTCTGTGTTGAAAAACTAACTCCCCTCGCGGACCAGCTGCTGTTGCCCTATGCTGCTGCCTCTGATACAGAGGCATGCGAGGCAGCAGTGCAGGGTGGCAGCAGCCCCTGTCCAGGGGGCGTGTCTGAGCTCCTGGACCTGGCATGAGCCGGGCTGCCTGCCCCCTAATACACTTGAAATGCAGAGTTGCAGCAGGGGTAGGTCCCGGACCCGTCGCAAGCCAGCACTGAGCCGGGCTGCTGGCCAGCCTGCTAACAAATTTGCTGGTGGGGGTGGGCAGAACACATGCTGTCCATAGCATTAACCTATAGGCTTTTGCTTGTGGGTTAATTGACTCCACTGTTACACCCCTAGACTGGAGCCCGCTCGCATGAGCCCACCCCAGCGGCACTGGGAGGGGATCACTGGCCCATGGGAAAAGTTCCTTCCTGACCCCTAATCGACTCCAGCTGGAGGACTGCAAATGTCTTGGGCTAACGGCCCATTGGCCAGGACGGCTCCCTGGGATGCTCTTCTTACCCATATGTCCCAGCTGGCAGTTTGGACCCACCTTGGCTCCAATCGCCATTGTCTGATTCCCGGCCCCCCGCTGCTCTAACCACTAGGCCCCTCTGCCCTCCCAGAGCTGAGGCAAGAACCCAGGAGTCCTGGCCCCCAGCCCTCCATGCTAGACCCCACTCCCTTCCTTGAGACAGGGGCAAACTGCAGAAATTCTGACTCTCAGGCTGTTGCGCCTCTAACCATTAGTCCTGACTCCCCCTCCCAGAGCTGGGAATGGACCCCGGGAGACCTGACTTCCGGCCCCCCTCAGCTCTAACCACTAGTCCTGACTCCCCCTCCCAGAGCTGGGAATGGACCCCAGGAGACCTGACTTCCGGCCCCCCTCAGCTCTAACCACTAGTCCTGACTCCCCCTCCCAGAGCTGGGAATGGACCCCAGGAGACCTGACTTCCGGCCCCCCTCAGCTCTAACCACTAGTCCTGACTCCCCCTCCCAGAGCTGGGAATGGACCCCAGGAGACCTGACTTCCGGCCCCCCTCAGCTCTAACCACTAGTCCTGACTCCCCCTCCCAGAGCTGGGAATGGACCCCAGGAGACCTGACTTCCGGCCCCCCTCAGCTCTAACCACTAGTCCTGACTCCCCCTCCCAGAGCTGGGAATGGACCCCAGGAGACCTGACTTCCGGCCCCCCTCAGCTCTAACCACTAGTCCTGACTCCCCCTCCCAGAGCTGGGAATGGACCCCAGGAGACCTGACTTCCGGCCCCCCTCAGCTCTAACCACTAGTCCTGACTCCCCCTCCCAGAGCTGGGAATGGACCCCAGGAGACCTGACTTCCGGCCCCCCTCAGCTCTAACCACTAGTCCTGACTCCCCCTCCCAGAGCTGGGAATGGACCCCAGGAGACCTGACTTGCGGCGAAGTTTGCAGCGGCCCGGAGCCGGCGGGGCGTTTCACTTGCTGTGGTTCGCCCCTGGACTAGTGACTCCGCCCTGCTCTGCCCACTACCCCTCTCTCCCCTCCCCCCGCGAGTCCTGCTCGAACCACGCGCCTGCTCTAACCACTAGAGAACACTCCTTTCCCATTGCGGGAGCCAGAACCCAGGCGCCTGGCTCCCTGCTCTAACCATTAGCCCATACTCTCTCCCCACAGCGACCCGTTGAGTCCGGGACCCGTGCCGTACCAAACCACTTCAGGGCCACACAATGTTCCCGGGGCATCTCCTGAAGGGGAGTGGGGTCAATGGTTAGAGCAGGAGGCTGGTGGCAGCCAGGGCTTGGGGCTTTTATTCCCAGCTCCGATAGGAAGCGGGTGTCGTTACTAGAGTAGGGATTTGGACTACAGGACTCTCATGCTCTATCCAGGCAGCAGGAGCAGAGTGGGGCTGAGTGGTTAGCGCAGGAGGTTGGGTACCCAGATGCCTGGGTTCTCTAACTGACTCCATCAGCCTCGCTGATTTTAAGTTTGATTCTCTAGAATCAAGTTGATTTTCAAGTTTGGGAAAAGTTAGTTCCCAAACTTTTCGGCATCACGCCCCCCTTTTTGATTTTTGAGAAACCCTCCCGCCCCCCCCCCCAATACCAGCCAC